ACTTCTTTTGACTGTGGGAGGAAACCGGAGCACCTGGAGGAAACCCACTCAGACACAGGGAGAATGTGCAAACTCCACACAGGCAGTAACCTGAGGCTGGAATCGAATCCGGCCCCCTGGCGCTGTAAGGCAGCAGTGCTAACCGCTGAGCCACCACGCCGCCCCTGAAGTATTTTTGACATGTAGTCACTGTTTTAATGTTTGTACACAGCAAGATCCCATAAACAGCAATGTAGCAGTGAGCAGAGAATCCGTTCTTCCTGATTATGTTAATTGAGGGGCAGCTACTGTCTCAGGAGACCTGGGAGGACTCCTGTGCTCCTCATTTATGGCAGAATATTTCATTTCCACCTGAGAGGCCCTTGGTTTAATGCCTCAACTTAAAGGTAGACACCTCCCATGGTTCTTTGCAAGAACATAGAACATAAGAATGAAGAGCAGGAGTAGGCAATTCAGGCCTTCAGTTTGATATGACCGTGGCTGATCTCACCCTTGTCTCAACACCACATTCCTGCCTGCTCTTGATAACCCTTCAACCCATTACTAATTAAAAATCTGTCTATCTCCTCCTTAAATGTCTCAATGTCCCAGCATCCACTGCACTCTGGGGTACTGAATGCCACAGATTCATCTCTCTTTGAGAGAAGTAATTCCTCGTCATCTCTGTTTTACATCTGCTGCCGGTATGCTGAAACTATCACCTCTTGTACTAGATTGCCAGAGTGAGGGAATATCTGCTCTGTGTCTAATTTGTCAGTTTCCTTTAGCATGTGCCTCCATTAGATCTCCTCTCATTTTTCTTATCTTCCCTTGAGTATCAGCCTAGATTTTATGCTCACGTCTTTGTTTTGAGTCTTGAACTGACTCAGCAGTGAGGGTGCTAATGACTAAGCTAGAGCCAGCACAATCTGACCGAGACTCATTGTGTTCCTGGACATGTGGGAAACACCTTTCACCGCTGATGCATTTAGCCAGTGCAGTCGAGGAGATAGCACAGGAAGTAGATAATGACCATGTACGTTGACATCTCTCTGAGATCCAGAGATCACATTGTTTGCATTGAATGTGCCCTCAGTGTTGGAGGATCTTCCCATCTGAGGCCAACATCCACCTTGTTTCTTTTTGTATGAGGAAGTATTCTTGACATCATCCTTGAACAGCTTAGCTCCAATCTTGGGGATAGTAGGAACTGCCGATGCTGGAGTCTCAGATAACAAGGTGTGGAGTTGGATGAGCACAGCAGGCCAGGCAGCATCAGTAGAGCAGGAAAGCTGACATTTCAGGTCTGGACCCAAAATGTCAGCTTTCCTGCTCCTCTGATGCTGCCTGGCCTGCTGTGTTCATCGAGCTCCACACCTTGTTAGCTCTAATCTTGCTGTTGCCTCTTGCTCTCTCATTAGACACATGGTGAAAGGATTTGAATCAGTTTCTGGCTGGTTTGCTTAGCTAATGCATCCATTGTCTCCCGGTTGACATGTGGACTCTGTTCTTTTAACAATCCAAGCTCCCACCACCACCTTCAAGTTCCCCTCCAAGCCACACACCTGACCTGGAAATATATCGCTGTTCCTTCACCATCGCTGGGTCAAAATCCTGGAATTCCCTCCCTAATGGCATTGTGGGTCAATCCACAGCAGGTGGACTGCAGCGGTTCAAGAAGGCAGCTCACCACCACCTTCTCAAGGGCAACTAGGGATGGACTATAAATGCTGGCCAGCCAGCGATGCCCACATCCCACAAAATGAATAAATAAAATCTGCTTGAGTTAAGAGAAACATCCGCATTCATTCCACTTTATGTTCCTCTCCTCCTGTTCCAAAAAAAGGCTGGCACATGCTGAATTTTTGTTTCATGATGGACGTCCCTTACTTTTCTTCAGTGTCAACTCTCTAATCCTGTATCTATACAGTCAGTGTCCAGAGGCTATTTGACTGTGAAAGGAAGTGCAAGCGAGACCCAATTCTCACCTGTCTGACAGCTTGTGCACACCAATAACTGTTGCCTTAAGTTGCTACCTTGAGCAAGAGAAAACAGGAAAAATCCAGTTGGCAGAACAAGAAAGAGGGAGACACATAGAAAAGTGAGAGAAGAAAGAATGCATTAATGTCACTAGGGCCTCTTCTACATTGTGTATGCAGGGGCTTGCTCTTCTAATAGCGAGCTCTATGTAAGTGGAGGCTTCAGTTATGCAGCTCACGACTGGAAATCCCACCCCTGGGATATGTCCAAGGTTGACATCATTGACAAGCAACTTCAGCTCAGCCATTGCAAGGTCAGCAAGCCTCACACACTGAGATTTGATCTGTCTTCCATTTTTTTGTTTGACTGATGGTGTGTGAGGTGTTGTAGTATGGTTCTCTTTGTTAAAGACCCCGCTGTAAATGTGTATCATTATCACTTGCAGCCACATGCACACATTTCACCCAAAGAACTAGAATCCTTTCACTTTAATGGCGTCCTTTTGGAGTTTGATGATTATGGCCTCGATGCCATGGTATTTCTTCTGCAGGAAGAACAGGGTTGAGGATTTGTGTAGCTATTTTCTTTGGCATTTGATGGGCAAGGCAACTTTACTTTTATTACAGCTTGACTCCAAGGAACAACCTATCTACAAGCACAGAATTTTAAACATTTGCTTTTCCATTGCAACTGAGTGCCTTTGCCCTGCTTTGATGCAGAGATTGCCCAGGACTGAGTATTAAAGAACTCATTCATTGATACCTGGTGACCTTTCTGCCTGAGCTGTGGTTGCAAACTATCTAGGATTGACCTGGGGTCCCCAGGGGTTATGATGTGATTAGCTGTTGGTACACCCTGGCCATTGAAACATTACGTTCCAAATACAATAGGAGCAGAAAATGTAATGACAGAAGTAGGCCATTCAGCCCATCGAGACAGTTCTGGCCATTCAATGAGATCATGGTTGATCTAATAGTCCTCACTCTACTTTCAAGGCCTACTTCACAGCATAAATCAATATTAACACTCCCCTCAGTACTGAGGGGAGGGCTGTGCTGAAGGAGGTGCTATGCTTTGAATGAGATTTTAAACTGACAACTGATCTGTTTGCTCGGGAGGATGTAAAAGTTCCCATGGCACTATAAGGAAGAGCAGGCATGTTATCTCTGGTGTCCTGGTCAGTACTTTACCCATCGGATCATCTGATCATCATTGCACTGTTGCTTGTGGGATCTTGCTGTGCGTAAATTGGCTGCCATGTTTCGTACATTCTGACAGTGTAAAGGCCTTTGACACCTCCAGCGTCGTGGAAAACATTGTTGAAATGTAAATCGCTTTTTGGGGAGACAGTGCGGAGAAACTACACATGAGCTTGAGAGAAACAAGTGGTCACCTTTATTTTTCTCCGTGAATAACTTTGTTCATTAGTCATAAAATTAGTTACATCCCAAGATGAGGGTGTTGGTTTGAACAGGAGAGGGGCAGGGCGGTTGGGCAGGTGAAGATGGGGTTGGAGGCAGAAGGCAATGCCATTAAGTGCCCAGCAATGAACCTGGCCAGAGTTGGTAACCAGCTGGTCCCCATCTATTTGGTGATGTGTTGAGTGTGGGCCTCCTTCAGCCCCCTCCTTGTGCTAACCTGCATTTTCCCCTCAAAGTGAACACACTGCAGATCGATTCCACTGGCTGTAGTTTTTCCACTTCATGTAGAATGAGCTATTTGGCTGACAGCCCACAATCCAGGTTTGGCCTTTGCAAAACTTTCTTGGCTCACAGTTTTGAATCAGCAGTGTAAAAGCAAGGGGGAAGGATGGTATTATTGCTGGCTGAAAATCCTTTTCCAATTCCTCCCTTCTTAATGGGGCAGATAGTCAGTGTGGGAATGAGGTGCCAAGAGTCAGTGTGATTTCAGGATAATAGTCAGGATACCAAAGCTCCTTAGAGGGACTAGTTAAATTTAATCAGCCACAAACATTGAAGATATTTTCTAATCAACCTGTTTGGAAATAATATGATACACACATCTGGAGCAGGTAAGATTTGAATCCAGGCCTCTTAGCCCAGAGGTAGGGGCACTACCATTACACCACAGGAGCCCCTTCTCCACAAACATTGAAGGCTTTTTTGTTAAGGGGCCACCTTGATTGTAACTGGAGGGAGGGGAGTGGAAGAGGACATTGACTGGCTTGGTGTATTCAATAATGCGTAGGCTGCTTTCAGATGTGAGAGGGGAATAGCAAATATCAGTGTGGCAAAGTTTGGTCTGTTTGTGATCTGCGCCTGACCTGAAAGGTCCACAATTTGCCCAAAATCCAGAGATTGCTTTAACCCCTTGGAAGAAAGGACCCCAAACAAAAACCACTTGGAAGATCCTCCCGCAGGGGCAAAGGTTTACGTGAAGACCTCAGGAATCTCTCATCCCCAGCTGATTTACCCCGGCCCCGCACTCGTAGGCTGAGCCCAGGCTTCAGGTCTGCAGCTGGGCCTGGGCGCCTGAAGGCGTGGTAAGGGTCGGCAAAAGGGAGGAATGGCAGCAGCGTCTGGAGGGACGTGGAATAGGGAGCAGGAGGTACTGAACTCGCGCACCCCCAGGCCCATGGCTCCAGCTCAGACGTGGCAGTCACAAGAGGGCCAGTCTGTAACCGAGACCATAATCGAGATTCTAGAGCCTGTTTTACAGGCTCTGGCTGATACCAAGCAGCGACTGGAGGAGCAGCAGGAGGAGGAACAACAAGAAGAGACAAAGATGAACTCCATTGCAGTAAAACCTTGTATTATATTCAGTGTTTCAAGATGGCACTGGAATGAGGCAACACTTTGTGTTTAACATGTGAAAAAACACTTTTCACAGTATTTTTATGTACATGTGACAACAAAACTGATCATATTCTCCCAGCCTAAGTCCAAACCCTTCAGACATGAGCTTTTGTACAAGTGGTTTGTGTTCTATCGAGGCAAGAGTGTTCTTCGCCTCAGATTCTGGGGGTAAATGAGAAGTGGCAAGTTTAACTGGAAGTCTGCCTAATTTGGTTTAGAAGCTTTTAGGGGTAGTCTATTATCTTCTGATCTGCAATTGACTTTTAAAAATACAATCTGCAAGACTGTATTTAATTTAATCAGAAAGGACAAATCAAGAGAGAATTAAAGCCAAGCTAACTCAACATACCATGTGTAGGGAACAGCAGTGAATGGGATCTTTTTGCAGCGGATTGAGGGTATTTTTTTCAGAAAGGGGCAATAACTAAAGGCAGCAAACTGGCCGCAAGGATCTGGGGGCGGAGGGATGGTTCTGACAAGTGCTGATCAGCCGCAGGGAGTGGGACGAGCCTTTTGCTGGGGAAGGCTGCAGGCTTTTGGCACTTTGTGTGTGTCTCTCTCTCTCTGCATTTTATTGTTCCGTCTGGCGTGTTTACAATGGTTTCCGTCATCTCCGAGCTGGATTCGCTCGACAGTTGGAAAGTTCTGAGGTAGGCTCCAGAGTTTGTGTTTCGCAGCCGATCATTTGTGTTGGAGAACCTTTCCGGCGGATCCCGTGTGCAGAAAAGCAATTTAATGTAGGGGGCTTTAGGCCACAATCACAGTCTGTTCGTGTCTCTCCTCCGCTAGTCCTTTTCTCATGTTCTCCCTCTGTCTCTCTTTCTCTTGATCTCTCCCCTCTCTCTTGTTCTTCCCCGCTCTCTCTCTCTCTTTCTTTTCCTCTGTCTATTTCTTTCCCTCTCCCTTGTTCTCCCTCTGTCTTTCTCGTTCTCCTTCTGGCTGTCTTTCTCTTGGTCTCTTTCCCCCACCCATCTTCTTCCTCTTGTTCTGTCTCTCTCTCTAGTTCCCCTCCTCTGTATTTCTTTCCCTTTCTCTTATTCTCCGTCTCTCTCTCCCTTGTTCTGTCTTTCTCTCTAGTTCCTCTCCTCTCTGTA